AATCTTCTACGACTGATAAACCGACTACGACAGCATCAACTGCTGAAGTACAAACAACAGAACCATCCACTACCGACACATTAACAACAGAATCATCTACTACTGGTGCACCAACAACAGAATCATCTACTACTGATGCACCAACTACAGAGGCATCGACAACTGAAGTACCAACAACTGAGTCATCTACTACTGATGCACTAACAACAGAATCATCTACTACTGATGCAACAACAACCGAATCATCTACTACCAACGCACCAACAACAGAATCATCTACTACTGATGCACCAACTACAGAGGCATCGACAACTGAAGTACCAACAACTGAGTCATCTACTACTGATGCACCAACAACAGAATCATCTACTACTGATGCGCCGACAACCGAATCATCTACTACTGATCCACCAACAACAGAATCATCTACTACTGATGCACCAACTACAGAGGCATCGACAACTGAAGTACCAACAACGGAATCATCTACGACTGATGAACCAACTACAGCAGCATCAACTACTGAAATACAAACAACAGAACTATCCACTACCGACGCACCAACAACAGAATCATCTACTACTAATGCACCAACAACCGAATCATCTACTACTGATATACCAACTACAAAGGCATCGACAACTGAAGTACCAACAACCAAATCTTCTACGACTGATAAACCGACTACAGCAGCATCAACTACTGAAGTACAAACAACAGAACCATCCACTACCGACGCACTAACAACAGAATCATCTACTACTGATGCACCTACAACCGAATCATCTACTACTGATGCACTTACTACTAAGTCATCTACTACTGATGCACCAACAACAGAATCATCTACTACTAATGCACCAACTACAGAGGCTTCGACAACTGAAGTACCAACAACCAAATCTTCTACGACTGATAAAGCGACTACAGCAGCATCAACTACTGAAGTACAAACAACAAAACCATCCACTTCCGATGCACCAACAACAGAATCATTTACTACTGATGCACCAACTACAGAGGCATCGACAACTGAAGCTCCAACAACTGAGTCATCTACTACTGATGCACCAACAACAGAATCATCTACTACTGATGCACCAACTACAGAGGCATCGACAACTGAAGTACCAACAACTGAGTCATCTACTACTGATGCACTAACAACAGAATCATCTACTACTGACGCACCAACAACCGAATCATCTACTACCAACGCACCAACAACAGAATCATCTACTACTGATGCACCAACTACAGAGGCATCGACAACTGAAGTACCAACAACTGAGTCACCTACTACTGATGCACCAACAACAGAATCATCTACTACTGATGTGCCGACAACCGAATCATCTACTACTGATCCACCAACAACAGAATCATCTACTACTGATACATTGACAACTAAATCATCTACTACTTTTGCACCTACCACAGATGCGTCAACAACTGAAGTTCCAACAACAGAATCATCTACTTCTTCAGTTCCAACAACACTTTCTTTGTCTACTGATTCACTGACAACAGAATTATTGACTACTGTAGCTCCAACTACAAGTTTTGGTATTGTAGTTGATATTTATATACATTTTTATCTAACTATTGAATTTTTACTTTATTATGAATTGTTTTGTTAGTAAACTTTTTTTTAATTTTATAATTTAATTTTTCAGTATCGAACTTGTTCTCGTATGGCGAAGATATTGGGGATATATCGCTCCGTAATGTCTATTTTAGCACGGATACTGAATCAATGCACTCTGATTTCATATCGAATACATTTGTACCTCCAAACGGTTTTCCATTTGGAACAGATTTTTTTCATGAGATATATGTAAGTTTTTTTACACACAGTAGCTTAGATCTAAATCATAACATAAAATGAATGTTATACTATTTTTTTTTAAATATATTTTTAGATTATTTACAAATACTTAGGTGTATAAGAGACAGCTACAGAGGCATCGACAACTGAAGTACCAACAACTGA